GATGCGGTGATATTTTTACCTAATTTCCGTTCCACTTTTAATTGATGATGTAGAATATTTTTATTGAAATATTTTCGTCCAATTTTTTATTTCTGTTCCACTTTTAATTAAAATGCGATGATCTGACAATTTCTTTTTTCATTTTAGCCAATTATGAATCATTTTTTATTCGCAGTCAATTATTAATATTCATTTCCTTTTATATTTTCAGTCAATTACTAATATCAGATTCAGTTTCAGCCAATTATTCTTTTTTATTTTCAGTCAATTAGTCAATTAGAATATGAGATGCAGTGATATTTTTACTCAATTTTCGTTCCATTTTTAATTGATGATGTAGAATATTATTATTGAAATATTTTCGTTTCATTTTTTATTTTCGTTGCATTTTTAATTTACCTTTACTTTTGTTTAAAATATATCTTTACTATTGATGATGTAGAATATTATTATTGAAATATTTTATTTTCATTTTTAATTTACCTTTACTTGATGATGTAGAATATAATTATTGAAACATTCCCATTCCATTTTTAATTTCTGCGTTCCATTGTTTAAAATTGTGAGAGATTTATGAAATAATTGTAATTTGATTTATTATACTGTATAATATTATTGTGAAAAATTAAAATGCAATGATCTGCCTATTTCCTTTTCTATTTAAGTCAATTATGAATCATTTTTTATTTTCAGGGGTCAATTATTAATATTCATTTCTTTTTCCAAGTAACCTAATTTATGTTCCTTTTTTCCATTTTTAATTTTTAGTCAATTATTAATATTCGTTTCTTTTTTTCAATTTACGTAATTTCCGTCCCATTTTTAATTGATGATGTAGAATATTATTGTGAAATATTTCTCTTCTTTTTTATTTCCTTTCTTTTTAAAAAAAAAAAATTACCTTCACTATTTATTATTGTTTGGACAGTAAATCAAGTAAATATGATTTTGTTTTTAATTATAGTATAGATTAGTATGACACTTATGTTCAAAAAAATTCTCTCATTCCTGACCTTTCTTCAGTCTTCTCTCTCTCAAAGAGCGTCGATACTTCATGCTATACACACGATTCTTTTAATGATTTTACCCTTATTTTGACAGATTTTTCTTTCATTTGTGATTAAAAGTTCTAGTTTCGAAAGTTCACCCACTCGCAAAGCATCGATCTACAAAAAGATAAGTTTTTATCTCCATTTGAGATATATATATATATATATATATATATATATATATATATATATATATATATATATATATATATTGTATTTAAAAAATCAGTTTTTGATATTTCAGATGTGATCTCTATTACTATATATATTGCATTTTTAATTTTATAATATGTTAAATTTAGGATTACTTTCTCAAAGCTAGAGAATGAAATACATGAATTGATGTTTGAACATCTTAGCAATTGCTCTTCTAGGTAAATTCATTATTTATTTTGAACTGAATATAAAATACAAAAAATTAAAACAAAACATATGGCCGTTACATATACGGTAATTTATTTTTGATTTAGATTTATTCATTCATATAACTAAAACACATGTTATCTTCAAAAAAAAATGCATATTTTCTTCATTTGTGTAAAATGCTCAAAACAATGCTATGGTTACGGTTTTGATCTTCTTTTAGGGTAATTTTAAACAAAACTTCCATTCAAATGAATGACTCTTGTTCAAAAGCAATATCGACATTTCTCTAAGAAATAGGTAGAAAAGATAATGCTAGAAAGTGGAAAAAAGTTATATTAATTAAAAAAATCAGATTAATAGGATTTCATGATACAATTACCTTAATTGATGTTCTTTTGGAGTCCCTCTACTGTTATCATAGTATATATATATATATATATATATATATATATATATATATATATATATATATATATATATATATATATATATATATATATATATATATAGTGAAAGGTTCATGTGCAGTTGAATGCTTCCCGTGCGGATGTGCGGTGGATTAATGTGCATGAGATTTGTACTCAATGTGCGTAAGTGTTGTGCTTAATATGCCTGAGATTTGTACTTAATGTGCGTGAATGTGCAAAATGCAGCAAAAAATATTGATGTCAGCTTCTTCCCCATCCCCAGTAGCCAATTCCCCCTCCCTGATGATGATGACGCGGAGGTGATCTATGGTGGTTAAAAATTATGGGAATAATACAACAAAATCCACTGCTGTGCAAATTTTACTGTGCGTGCGTCATTTATATAAACATTCAACTGCACTGAAGGTAGCTGATAATCCAGAATCCATGGCCAAATTTAAGGAAGAAGTAACAAGAAGCTTGGGCGTTAATGTGCGTGAGTTTCTGTTATGCTTCCTTCTGAGCTCGTAATTCTGAAATACGCACGCACATTAAGCACAAATCTCACGCACATTAAACACAATACTCAGGCGCATTAAGTACAAAACTCACGCATATTAACATGACGCACATTAAGTACAAATCTCAGGCACATTGAGTACAAATCTCACGCACATTAAGTATAAATCTCACGCACATTAATCCAGCGCACATCCGCACGGGAAGCAACAAATGCACCTGATCCCCTCCCTATATATATATATATATATATATATATATATATATATATATATATATATATATATATATATATATATATATATATATACATATATATAACACTTTGGTAATTTCAAATCCAAGTAACAAATAAATAGACAAGTATTTAATTTGGAGTGCACAATGGAATAAATATATGTAAAGTGTTATGCCAAAATAATTAATTGGATCACATGTACAACGTTAGATATGCTCAGATGATGTGTAAGAATAACAAGAATATCTTTAATATTTAAAGGAGATGGTTCACTCAATATTTAACAAGATTATTCAAGATTGTATATAAGACTTCATGCGAAATCAACCGTGTGATAAATGTCACATGCAACACGTCAAAATTTCTTAGAATAATTGAAATAATAAGCTTGGAAAGTTTGAGTTACATTCACACGTGAAAACACACTAAACCCGAATGATTAAGATCAACTGTGAATAGTAAACGGGTTAGTAAAATACTAAACAAATAAAGCAGATTAAGTAAGTGCGGTATGTAAATGAGAGAGAGAATTTATAGTGGTTCGGAAGTGGCGTAATCTTCCTAGTCCACTTTACTCCTTTCGCGTCTAGGAGTAATTCACTATTTTCCACACACAGTTACAATAGTGAATAAGTGCTACACAAGCACTTCTTCGGATGTCTTGCACACAGCTACACCCAACTCCGAGTGTCTCGCTCACAGCTACACTCAACTCCGAGTACTTCGCACACAGCTATACTTAAACGCCAACTAAGTGTTTTGCGCAAAGCTACACTTAGCAACTACGAGTGTTTTGCACACAGCTACACTCCATAGAGTATTTTGCACACAACTATACTCTTTTTACAATTACAAATATGAAGGTAATTGTATCTCTCTCCAACTATTTTTGAGACTATTCAGACTAAGTCTCTCTTCTAGATATTTCAATAAATATTCAGACTTGAATTTTGCTCGTATAGATCACTTTGTTGTCTCTTTTCTGCACTTCTTCATCTTCAAGTCTTCATTGCATTTTTATAGATAATCAAATATATACGTTGGAGTGGGATAATTTGGCATTTGAAATTTGAATCTTGTAGCCTGATATTGTTGACACTAGGTTCTTCAATTTTGATTTGATTGCCAACTTATCTTGACATGATAATATTTTTTATCTCAACTTGATTTTCAAGTTGTTTCTAAAATATTATTATCTTTGTCAATTTTGAACTTCTAACGTCTCTTGGCAATAAATTTTTCTGACATGATTTATTTCTAAGATAAGGTCTTTATCCATGCCTTCATAAATTTTCCATTGTTCTGATCATGTCTTCAGGCAATTTAGATTCTTGTGACATGTGAGACGAATCAAAATAAATTCATTCGAATTTATTTAATATTCTGATCATCCTTGCTTGTTTGTCACATTTTGCTCCTTAGAGACACATTGTGCTTGTATTGCCTTTCTTGCTTGTCAAAATTAGATCTTACTTGTTTAACCTGGTCACATTGTGCTGTGCTCTTTTTCAGATCTTGCTTCTTTGACCTTTACACATCTTGCTTGTTTGACTTGATAGATCGTGCTGTTTTTACATCTTGCTTGTTTGGCCGCTTCTTGCTTCTTCAGATTTAGCGTTGCAAAAAGATAAATCTTTAGGGGGATTTAATCTTAGATCCTAGATATGATCATTTGTGTGCAAAGACTTCTACCATTTCACCGTGAGGCTCATCCATTCATTCTCTGTAACATCTTTGTTTAATGCTTGTCTTCTGGATGAATACTCGTAGGACCAAAATTAGTTATCCAAATTAATTTTGTTCTTCATGTAGTAGTCTTTCGTTTGCTTTTTGACTTGAAATACTGAATTATGATGCTTGTACTAATGTCCTAAATTCTAAGGGGATCTAAAGTACATTTGGCTCATCAAAACCTTATTAAGAAAATATTCCTATCAATTTTCACCCTTTTTGATGACGCCAAAACTTATACTCAGTCATTTGGGTTAGTCTCAAAAAAATTAAAATTTTCAAAAGATTTTATTAAATTTGACATAGCCATGATGAGTTTAACAATTGATTTTGACTCTAGGAAAGGTATTTTTAGCAAGAGTTTCCTATTCGCATTTTTGGATTTTAACATTAATGATTTTTGCAATTTTTCCAATTATGCGATTCATACAAGTTAAGCTAAAAAATTACCTTTCAAGACAAATTAAAACAAAAACAGACAGAATATCATAAGCATCATATTTAGATAATGAGCAAAATATTGTAGCAAAATATTGATGGCCATACTTAGTGTTTTGTTAGCCAAACACAAACATTGTTCACCAATTTCACAAATCACTTGATTATCTTGTTTCTCTTTTCTTCTAACATGCGATTGATATGGTTCTTAACATCAATAAAATTGTCACTAATAGCATAATCTTTGCATACCTGCCCAATCACATAATAATTGAAAGCTTCAGTGATGTTGTTTCCGAGCAGTATACCTTCTTCGTACCAGATTATGCATTCTTCTAGATTCTTATCTCCTTGCAGTTCTGCTCCATTCACCTTGATGTAGTCTAGAAGTACCATCATCATTATGGACCTTGCATAGCTCTTGATGTGTCTGAAGTTCTCACTTGAGATCCACATGTTTTGATCACTTGGACTACTCTTCTTCATTCCTTTTGGTAGATCATTTAGATTTACCATTCTTGTCACTTCAATTTTGTCATCTCTTGGTGTGGATTCCAAGTAAAGAGCTACTTTGTTGAACTAGTTTATTTGTTCTTGATTTTCACCTGCACAAACAATATCACGAAAAGATCTATTAGTGGTATTAGCACTACTGGAACCTCCTGGACTGCTTGCATCACCAAACCAGTATTCCAGTCCTCCTTTCCTTGCAATATTGGTTCTGCCTGTTCTGCCTCCTCTACTGCTGCTTCCACCACCACTCTTGGTATCCATGGCAGTCATGATAGCTTCCATCATTCCTTCCAAATGACTGAATCTCTCTTCCCCCTTTTTGGCGTAATCAACTAGCTCATGAACAGATGCACGAAGGGAAGAAACTGATTCTGCAATAATGTCATAGGAACCACGAAGACACCTTACTTTGGTGTTGATGGAATCAATATCTGTGTGAACATCTCTGATTTGATTCTCCTGTTGATGAACTACTTTGAGAATTCCTTTGCCTTGGTTCACGGAGACCACCTCACTGGCTTGTCTATCATTCTTGAGGGCTTGAGAAATTTGAAGAAAGAATTCATTGAGTACACCCTTGATACTGGAGTTCAGACCACCAATATGTCTCTCCAAGGATTGGTGTGTGTCAATGAGACTTTGTTGACTCTTCTGATTTTCAACAAATGATTTTTCAATCTTTCCAGTTTGAGCATTGACAATATGACCGACATGAGTGTGTTAGGAATAAAGTGTAATGGTTTTGATATGTCAAATTTGTATTTGTAGATCCCCCAATTTTATTTCTAGGTCTAGTAGAGTCTTAGACCAAGATCGGGAAATTATTTAATTATGAAAAGAGAAAAACAGAGGAAGATGGATGCAAATAGAAGAAGAAGATATAAAGCCGAAAATCAAGAATTTGTCTGGAGAAAATGAAAAATTGAAGAAGAAGATGAATGATACAATATTCACGTCGCTACTACTCAAAGAAGATATCCCAGAAGAATTTTCATGAAGAAAATTAATATTGGAAGAATGCATGAAATTGACTTGGAGATCAAGCATCTATGGAAAGAAAGAAGTACATCAAATGTGATTGGAGATTTAATCAAAAGTTGTACGGACGAAGTGGATGATGCTTGATATATTATCTGAAATGGCTCAAGTTTGAAACTCACCATCAACAATTTTACAAGGTAAAATTTGAGAAGTCAAATTAAATTAATCAAATTGGGAGCCAGTTTCAGAGAAATCAAAATCAATGGAAATCAATTCAATATGGGAACCAATGTAGAATTGAAATTCAATATGGGAATCAATGTAAAATTGAAATTTGTAGTATGGGATGCAATTTCAAAGTTGGGGACCGATTCAAAGAAGACATGGAGATCAAATTGAATTGAGATGAAATTCAATACCAGGAGAAGTCTGGGAGCCAATTTCAAAGTCAAAGTCAACAATTCAAATTGGGAAGCAATTGAAAGCACCAGGAGCAGTTGGGAGCCAATTGCAAGTCAATTGAAAGCACCAGGAGCAGTTGGGAGCCAATTGCAAGTCAAAGTCAATTGGGAGCCAATTACAAGGGAGAAATTCAAATTGGGTGCCAATTACAAGCCAATTGAAATTGGGTGTCAATTACAAATGAGAAATTCAAATTGGGGTGCCAATTACAAGCCAATTGAAATTGGGTGTCAATTACAAATGAGAAATTCAAATTGGGTGGAAGTTCAAAGCCAGTTTGAAGTCTGAGAACACCCAGACGTGAGAATGAAGAAGATGAAGTAGAACTTACAGTGAAAAATATTCTCACAAGGAAAATACTAGTCTAACTAGTATGGGATTAAAATAAAGATTATTTTTGAATCCCAGAGATACAAGGACCACTTCAGAGCTATGAGAAGCCATTCTACAGCAAAACTGAGACCCAGATATTTCCACTCAACGTAAAACCAGAGGAGTATCATATGAAGTTTGGGAGCTCATTTACATGGAGATGAAACTCCATCAACGGCTAGCTTATCTCTTTCTGACATTTTTGCAGAAGATAAGATAAGATCTCTGACAAAAGATACAAGATTTCAAAAATGAGAGCGTCTCTTTCCAACGGACAGATTCTCATTACCAGCTATAAAATGATGAAGATATGAAGACTTGAAGATGTGTGAAGAGCAATAGAGCAGTAAAACGAACTCACGAACAAGAGAGCAGAAAATTCGAATCCATCAAAGGGATCGAATAGAGCAATTAAGCTTGAAAGAGCATAGAGCAAAAATCTCATTTGGTACAGAGCATACCAAAAATCTTCAAGTGAGAAGTGAGAAAAGAAAAAGAACTCAGAGAGCTTCAAAAGAGAAATATTCTAAGAGTTCTTAAACAGAGCAAAGCAGAGCATAAATATCAAGTGCTTTACTTGATATATTCAAAGAGAGAAAACACTCAGAGCTATCAAGAGAAATCATTCCAGAGTGTTTATCTTCATCAAAGAGACCTGCGCATCATTGAAGATCATCTACAGAGTCTCAGAAGTTGGAAGCAAGACAACACTTGTTTTGGAGCAAAACAAGAGAAGGGAGGAAAGTAGCACGGAGCTGTGAAATCCTGGATTGTCACACGGAGCTGTGAGATCCGAAGCAGCAGTGTCGGAGGCACTGGGCGTGATTGGTGTAGGCTTGGTGATCAAAGCACCAGATCACGGGATACGTTTCTACCGGAGTGTGGAAGACGGGGGGAAAGTAACGCGGAGTCGTGAAATCCTGGGATAGTAGCGCGGCGACGTGAAACCCGAAGCAGCAGTGTGGTGTCACTGGGCGTGATTAGTGCGGGCTTTGTGATCAAAGCACTAGATCACGGAAATTCATTGTATCTTGGAACCAAGGAGTGGTAGATATAGTGAATTGGCTCTTGGAGAAAAGAGCAAGTGGAGTAGGAGGATTACACCACCTCGCAAACCACTATAATTGTCTTGTGTTCTTTACTGCTTTCTTTACATACTGCTCTTTACATATTCGCTCTCACGAAGATATACTGCTCACACAATCTCACACACACTTTATGTTTATTTATTTCCGCTGTGCACCATACTCTAACAATCTAGTTAAGAGTTTTGGTTTATCTCTGTCTTAGCAATTGTTGTGCTGTGCGAAAAAGTTTGAAAGTCTATTCACCCCCCCCCCCCCCTCTAGACTTTCACCTAACCTCTTTTGGGACTAACAGAGTGTATATCCCTTGGATCAAACCTTCCATCCTGTCCACTAGACCAAACACAATGTTTTCCAGTTTCTTTAAGTGGTCATTCGAGACAGCAGCAACATGGTCTTGTTCTTTTTCTTGGTTTGCAGGTTGGTTTCTTGCTCTTTCTTGAGCTGAGTTGTCATAAAGTAACTGAGATTGTGCTTGTACCTCCCTTGCTCTTTCTGGGGTAAAATCTTCTAGCACAAGTGTGTCACCTTGAGCACTCTCATAATGGTGAGATTGTGCTTCTTCAGTGTGTTGATTGTCGTGCATGGCTTGATTTTCCATTGGTTCATGGCTCACCTCAGTTTGATTCAACACGCTCACATCATATAAATCAACATCAAAAGAATTAGGACTCACCACATTGTTTCCTTGATCAGTAAATTGATCAAAATATTGAGATTGTGAGCCACTTGCCAGTTCCGGATTTGTGATATGTCGAGACAATTCAATAACACGATCAATGTCATCATCTTCTAAAAAATCATCTCCTGTTGGCAAATCTTCTTGTACTACATTGACTTGAACACTTTCGGCCAATTTTGCTTTCATTTTGGCTAGAAATGCAGCATTAATAACTGAGATCCTTGTGGCTTGAGCAACAACATGGCAGTCAATCCAATTTAAAGAGAACATTTCCTCATTCTCCATACTAGGCCCACGTGGCATCAACTCTTGATATGTATCAAGTCTCCATTGTCTCCAATTCAATAATCTTTGGTATTCACTTACTAGAACCGAATCTAACCCATCAAATTGACAAATTATCTCACTTTGGACTTCTTCCATGGATTCTACCCGAGAGGTTGGGTTTATGAGGTTGGGGACATTATTTTGGTTGGAATTTTGGTTAAGACTCGAGGTGTGAGTTTGACTTAGGTTGTGGTCGTGGCTAGAGGTAATGAGTGTGCCTCAGATTGAGGTTATGGCTTGAGGTATGAGTGTGGCTTGGAGGATCATTGGCTTGGGGTACGGGTTGAGAGTTTGCATTGATAATGTCTTGCACTAGTCTTTTTCTGGCTGGTAGTGCTCTAGATTTTCTTTTTCTTTTCGGGTGTTGGACTCATCTAATATCTCAAAATCTTTATAAAGAATTCGATTGTTTCCAAAGGGTTTTCTCATTCTCATAGGTAACTCTTTTTGCTTCAAAATTTCTCCAATTAGTAGACCAAAACCTAGGACTCGGCTGAACTTCCCATTCTTAATTTGTGCACCCTTAACAAAATGGCATATTCTGCTTAGCACCAACTTACTCCAATTATCCCTAACTCCAGTCGTAATAGCATGCAAATAACTAATTCTTTTAGGAGATATATCTTCCATACTGTTCAACTTGCACAATATATATATATATATATATATATATATATATATATATATATATATATATATATATATATATATATATATATATCACATTGATTAACATTTGATATTCTGGCTTCAAATAAGTTTTATCTCCAGAAAGATTAGGTTCAACAGATGCTTTCTCATTTCAAATCTCTGTCCAGACCTCAGTACGGTCATACAAATGCATGTCTAAATGTAACAAGGGTTGTTCAGGATTAGACATGGGCAGTCCAAAGATTCAATGTAACTCAGTTTCTCCAATGGAAATGAGAGTTCGATTAACAGTGGACTCAATGGTCCAACCATTTACTTTGGCATTGGCATAAAAATCTGATACATCCTCATCATAATATCCAGAGTAGGAGTAGGAATATAAC